GGGGGGAAAGCTCGGCTTCTGCGGCGGCGACCCTGCTTTTGGGCTATTTTGCGGTGTTCCACCTTGCTTTGGGTGTCTACTCTTGTTATTGCAGTTTTTTCTTGTCGCGCTCTTGATACAAAAACAGGGTTGGGATTTATTGGTGCGGCGCTTGGGCGCCAGGCTCCGTTGGTTCTTCGCAGATACGAAAGAGCACGCCGTTTGGCTTCTTTCATTTGCTGTGTCTCTTCCCATTGGTTCCACGGGAAAGTTTTTTCCGGTTCTTGGAGTTGGGGGTTGCGTTGAATAAGCAAGTACGCGCCGGTGAACTGATGCTGTAGGTAGCTGTGTAGCCCGTGCCACCTTATTCGCAGGTAGTACGGTAACCAGCACGCAAGAGATGATAATGATTAATGAAAATCTCGGTGAACTTGTACAACAGTAGAAACTCGCTGATACTGCTGTATCCATCTCGACCCCTCCGGAAATTGTGCCTCCGCCAGCTGACCAACATCACCAATAGGAGCGGTGAAATTGGCACACAAGTAATTGCTTGTATCGTACCAACCAGCGCGGAAGACGACGACGATCATACACATGCTGTTGTTGTTTGTTGCGCCTTTGGCAAAATCGAAAAGCGTATCGGCGCTTCGTGTCCCATTCTCTCTCTCTGCCGTGGCTGAAGGTCCGGCGCCGAGGAGAAAGGGAATCACACAACCTACGAAATGATGGCAGACTAATAAATTAGGGGAGGGTCGCAGACACTTGTACAAACAGCTTTATCAAGGTTGGAGAATCGCAACCTTTTCACTTTTTCACGGATCGGTTACTCTCTCTGTAGCACACGGCTGGCCTTGGTCGCCTGTCATGCCTTGACACCTCCCGCCGAGCGAGGAATCAGGTCTAAAGTATCAATCAAGACTGCACCGCAGTACGGATGGGGCGTGAGTTCCTTCGTTGCCACGCCCGCTTTTCGCAATAGTTTTTTGGAGGTAGGCCCATGATCGTTTCGGGGAGTAACGCGTGCAGACGTGCAGACTGACTCCGATTGCCGCGATCGTGCAGTATACATGATCCTTCTGTTGCTTGCTCTATGGTGGCGGTGTGGGCAGGTATAATAGCTGCTGCAGTGGCCGAGTTTCTCGAGGCAGCTACATAGGCGTTGAACGACACAAGATTTACATTTTTGCTCTCGAAAGGTTGCTCCGGCAGAACATAGAGCGTCCACAGCAGGCGTACGAGAGAACGAGGATACCGACGGATCGGACTCAGGGGGCACGGCTTGCTCATCCCAACCAGCCTTCCGCGTTGTTTGTGGTAAGCTGCGCTCTGCGTGGGAGGTCTGGGTGACCCGTTCAGAAGGTCTCTACGTTCCACAGCCGGCGGGATGTGTAGAAAGATCCGGCAGTTTTTTGTTGAGAGGAACTGTAAGATTTGGTGGTCTCCATGCTCCATGTCGGAACGTGCTGTACGCAGGATAATGAGGGTCAGCGAGGTCGGTGGTAATAATAAAAACACACTTGCATCACACAACAGCAACAACAGCTCCTCACGCCCTACTTAGCTGGCAGGCACGTGTGTTGGCCGACCTGCAGCAGCTAGAAGAAGGTCGGGCACGCTGGCCTCACATAAAACCTGTCGTCGTGTCGTGGTACAACGAGGACATGCGAACCACAGCAAGCAGCGGAGACTAGGACAGGCTGTTTGCAGATTCCTCATATGCATAGATCCGCTGGGGCTGTGAGAGCTCGTGTGGTTCTGTCGTCAACTTGTTAACCATTTTTTGCTGGCGACGAAGAGCCACGGACGCACTCCTCGCACACAGGACACTCGAGGGGACGATCCCGCTTTATCACCACCGGACGGACGCTTTACCCGAAGGCCTAGGCGCGAGACAAGAGACAGAACGAGAGGGGCCGGGGGAAAGTGCGTACAGCCCAGGCGAGGCTACTGGTGTAGCTCGGCGCTGGTGGTCCATCAGCGAAATGATGGTGATGCCGAAGCCCGCGCAGCAAAAAGAGGAGCAAGGTACGCACGCACCTATCTTCGGAACTCGTTTCTGGTAACCAACGTGCCCCATGAAAAGCTATCTCGTCTATGTTTGGTGTCGCGAAAGTGACTGACGGGCTTACTGAGCTACGGGGATGTCTTGTATCAATACGGTGATGGTGGTGCATAGTTGTGCGCTGCGTGTGATCGACGGCATTTTTGATGAATCACCGAGAACAACCTTGATCTTGTCTCATGTATGTATGCAGACCGCAGGAGCAGTCCTGGTCCTGTGTGTATCCGCTGTCCCTCCACTATACGTATGTAGGTCGCTGCTGAGACAGCAGAGCTTACCCAGCAACGTGTTACGAGTCACTCACGATCTCGGTTCAGCCCTCTCGAAGTTGACATGCATGCTCGCAGACCAAGGGAGAAAAGACAGGACTCTCGACGGCAGTTTTTCTCTCTCTATGTGCAAGTGCAGCGAATTTGCCACCATGAAATTTCGTTCGTCTCTGCGGCCGCTGCCCCTGCTCTCTCGGTTGGTCTCTGTTTTGTGTCAAAAACGTACAACCCCCACATTCCTACCACGATTTCACAGCGGTGGTGTTGACTGCTGTGTTGTTGGTGTGCGTTTGTGATATGAACAACAACAGAGGCAAAGGAGAGGAAGGCGTTGGCTGCTCTGTGGTGGTGCACGCATGGCCCGGCCTGGGTCCAGGCGCTGGGGTGGGAGGAGGCATCAGCAGCTGGAGGGGACGGGAAACAGCAGCAGCAGCAGCAGCGCCTGCTAGGAGAGTGGGACGGGGTGGGTGTGGACCCAGAACTACAAGGCGTGACGTTGATTGACCTTCGCCGAAACAACCTGCAAGGTCAGTGGTATGGACGAAGGTACAGAGTTTCATTCATGGCGGAACGCCACGTCCATTCTTACATGAAGTGTAGTTATGGGTGTTCGACATATCCGCTTTGGATACCGAATGCATCTGGAACGCGACACCCAGCAGCAGTGCTGTTATGCATACTCATCGCTCGCCTCTCAGGCCTTGACTTGCACGCACCAGAGGGAGGACCCAGGCTTTTTCTTTTTGCTTGTAAGTTGTTGTCTTCGTGATGTCACGGACAACGACCACGGACAGACTAGAGGGAGGTGGTGACGGCGCCGCGGTACAGCAGGTAGACTAAGTAGGTAAATAGGTAAATAGTCGGGTGTTTGTAGAGTAGGTCCGCAGCAAAGCGACTCTCCCGGGCCCGAGGCACCGCAGCAGTACCAGGTTAGATCACAATTACAAACGTATCCACGCTCCGTACAAATTCTCCTTGAATCTCCTCCCTATTCCTATTCGTTCATCAGTCATTCCGTAGATTTTGATTACGAGACCCTACTACACGCCTTGCCTACACAGTGTAATTGCTTTGGGTAGATTCAGGTCTTGTCTCTCCGCCGAGGCACCAGATATCTCCTCCTTTGAACCCCTCCGGACTTTCCGTTGTCAACGTATCATATTCGTCAATATCGAATCCCCTTCATAGTTCCTCTACCTCGGTTGGCCCGGTCTGTCTGTTGGTTTGTCTCCTCCTCGCCCTTGTTGCCCACTGGCGGGGAGGCCGGGGGGGGGGGGG